TATTTGTCTTTTTCTTAAAAGAAGACAAGAAACATACATAAATTTGTCTTTTGTGTCAATTTTTTTTTTATATTTTGATTCATAAAATATGTATTGATATTTGTCTTTTTCTTAAAAATATATATATATTATGTTTTCCCAAGTAAATTTTATAATAATAGAATTTAAATTGGTCTATTTTTTAAATCGTTTTATTTCAGTACTTTTGAAAAGTTATTATTTTCGTCAATATATTTTTATTTTTCTCATTTTTTTATTATAATTTTAGCATGACATTTTTCATGAAATGAAGTCATAAATTCATTTTTATTTCGTATAAAATTTTGGTTAAAATTTAGAAAATGCAAGGACTCCCCCTTCTTTGAAAGGAATGTTTTGAAAATAAAGGAATTAAATGAATAAAAGTTGAAAATACCGAAGGTTTCGAAAATAAAATGAATTAAAACCAAAAGTTTAAAATCTAAAATACTACTTAAACCAATAAATTGATATAAAAAAATTAAAGTAAAATAAAAATAATTATAAAAAGAAACTGTCCAGTGTATTTTGAAAACGAGTTTTTACCAAACAGTAGTTCAAAAGGAACTATTGATCTGAATTGGGCCTTTGAACTAGCTCAGAAGTCCAAATAGGAGCTAGTTGGGCCAACTGATGCCAAGAAAAGCAGATGGGATTAGGTGGGGGCCTGTTCTTGAAACTCTGTTCTTTTGAAAGTGGGGCAGTTTTGTAAATTTACTTAAAATTATACAAAACCCATATGACATATAGTATCTTTTTTTTTTATTTAAATAAGTTTCTTTTAGTTCAATACTGTGAGGCAGGGATTTTTCAATATCATCCTCAAATTTAAGAAACTACCTCGAATAACTAATCAATAAATAACTCAAAAATCAACCCGAAAATTATCCAAACCAAGCTTTAAAAAAAAAGAAAGAAAGAAAGAAAAAAAAAAGAGACTCCATTCAATGCACATATTCAAGGAACAAGAAATAACATGCAATTCAATGTCAAAATTCCTAAAGTCAATCAAGATAAACATGAACCCATGCTACAAAAATACGTTGAGCAAGTTACAATGATGTTGAAAATACACGATTATAATTTTTTTTTAAATGATCGTGAGTATATATGTCAGGTTATGCATACTTTGATGATTAATTTTATGGGACATTTCTCTCATCTCCATAACTATTGGGCAAACTATTTATTAGTGGTATTCTAGTAATTATGGTTCAATCGAGGATGAAAATTTAAAGCATCAAAAAAGAAAAAAAAAGAGGATGAAAATTTAAACATTCGACTGAAGGTGAATTGTAATTAGGCGAACACGGTTAATTAAAAAGAACTAAAATTATAATTTAGTATATTTACGTTGGTATGCCACGAAAGCACAAATGAATTACCTGGGAATGATTTGCATCCGACAGGGGCAGGTGGCAGGTATCCATTGGGTAGCAAAAACGATGAATATTTGAAATATGATTATTTGGCAAAAGCTTCTGCGTGCAGTTACAAACTTATAAATCGACAGAGAATCAGAATGTGTTGGAGACTGCGAAATAAATGAAATTCCTTTTCAAAAAAAAAATAATAATTAAATAAAAATAAGAGAAAAGAAAAAGAAAATCAGTGGGAAACGTGGTGAGTACAAGTACTGAGATTGAGTCAGTTGGTCTGAAAAAGAAAAGGCCAAAGCCTTGGATTGCAGAGAAGAAAAAAAGGGGGAATTCCATACACTTCAGTTCCATTAAATAAGAGAGAGAAAATAAAGTGTTTGAATTTGAAAAATGGATTCTCTATTTAATTTGAATTGTTTTGCATTTGCTTTATGTGAAATACAAGAAAAAACTTAAAAAGGGTTAAGAGATGAAATTGTATGAAAGATTTTGGAATTAAGTCTCTCATCAATCTTCTCATTAAGATTTTATCGGTTGGGTATGTGAATTAGGTCTTACATTCATTAAAGTAAAGAGAATTCGTAGGCATATAAATAAATACGGCATCTTTTATTAGTACACGACTTTTAGATTGTTAGTACTTTGTTGGGTCCAAAATGGGTCATTGTGCCATTTGCACTACGAGTGAGAATTTATACCTACTTCTTTTACTATTAATGGAAAAGTTCTCGAGGCCTAACTACTTACGGAAGATGTAACGGAAAAGAAAACAAAATTTTGAACCATGTGATTAGGGAGTATTGGCTTGTCAAGATTTTTGTATTAAATTTTAAGTTTTAAATTATTTATGTTATATTTACTATTTAAAATTTTTATTACGTATTTTATACGTAAAAAATGATAAAATAATATTGTTATTCATGTTTTGAAAAAAAACAAGAAACGAAAATAACATACAAGAGACTTAATTTTATTGTTTCCAAAATTTCTACACTTTATATACACATTTCTCAAAAATAACAAATGAGAAATAGAAACCGTCACCAAAAGTTAAATGTTTCTACAAAATTGGAAACAAAAAACAAGAATAACATTACCAAACAGATCCTAACTCGATACATCCATCGTAAAAAAAACAACAATGCATGGAAATTAATGAATAATGACAAGCAAAAAACTGACAAAAAAATGTTGTTGTGGACTATGAGATTATTGTCCCAAGTCCTAAAACTTGGTAGATACTCAAAAAAGAGAGAGTGAAATGAGAGGTTGAGGGGTTTGGAAGCTACTTGGTATTTGTTTTGGGCTAAAGAAATGACATTATTATTGAGAGGGAGAGGGACAAAGTGAGTAATTTTTGTCAGAATTTGATCATACTATACTATACTATATGTCTATATTGTATTCCCCACCATTATGGTGCATCATTAAAAGGTGTCCAAACCCACATGACATCTGACCCCCCTAAAAATAACCACTTCTCATAAATGTATTGCCACCTATCTTTTAACTTATTTACCTCTCTCTCCTTTTCTAGGTCCCGTTCTCTAAAAGGTAGTAATGAAATCAATTGGTGTGACCTAGCTCAAACATAATGATCGCTACGTTCTTAAAAAGGATGATCTCATTTATCTGGTAAACAATAATTGTTATGTAACTGAAAATAAGAAAGGGGTATTCTTGTAATTGTTGTATATATGATTTTTATTTCGATTTCAGACCGTTTTAGTAAACCACTTTAATAGGTTTATGATTTCGATTCAAGAAATAACATTTTCATTTCCATTGATTTCATTCAACTAATTGATTTTCATTCTAGTTTCTGATAAGCAAACGAGACTTTATTTCATCAACAATGAGTGGAGTGGGAATTTGAATCTCTAAAAAATAAAGATCAATTACACCTCAAAATTTTAGATCGAAAAATTGCGTGGTTTTTGTTTGTATCATATTGTATTGTCATTGGAGTAGCTTAACACATAAGACATATATTACCATAATAAAGGTCGATAGTTCGTTCTCGACCTTGCAACGGTTAAAATTGAAGAAAGAAAAACACATTTCATTAAATGATGGCATGACAAAGTATATTATGAAGGAGAAATTTTTGCATGCATGTAATACTTCCAATTAAAAAAAAAATAGGGGAAGGAGGGGAGAAAAATTACAAAATCTTACTTATTTGTATTTATATGATTCGAAACAATATTCAATAATTTAGGATAATAAGACTTTTATTGCAGTGACTCAATTAAATGTGGAGTTCTAAAAGAATAGGTCATTGATTTTTTTTTTTTCAAAATTGTTGAAGAACCAAAATTAAAAGCGAATAAAATTTCTACTATCAAATCTAAATTATAAAATTTTAAGAACAAATTTGTCCTAATTAAAATTTATAAATAATATTGTTTTTAAAAATCATACTAAATAATACAAACAATTGTATAAATAATCAAATTGATGAAAACTGAATCTCGTAGAAATACTAATGTTGATGCAGGATTCTAGCAAGGTGACACATTAGTTTGTATCTGAGGTGGATATTTGATCAGTCAAATTGAGTCGTACTTGCACACAAATCTTCTACTACGTATACTCCAAAATAGATTTCTATCGAGCTAATTGGTCATAGATGATTTAGCCTATCTCATTTCGTCTTTCATGTATTAGAGCTAAAACCTGAACACGTATGTCTAAGGGATGGTCTATAATATGTGGTAGGTCCTACACTTAGTTATAACAACTAATAGTAGGGTTTATTAGTATAATTATATAAATAATTTTTATTTCAATTTTTAAATAATTATGATAGTTAATAATTATTGAATTATATTCAAGAGCTATTGAATATTATTTCAATAATTTTTTTTTTTTTTCAAAAGCACTATTGAATAAGCCCTACGCCATAGAATATTGCATCTTAGCAAATAATATATGAAATCAAGTATTTTGTTTGTACCTATAAGATATTATTAAATAATATAGAAAATTTTGAATTAAAATCTATATTATTAAATCGATGCAAGTAGTAATATGTGACACCTTAATAATTTGATGTGTATTATCAATAATATATTATATAGCAAGTCTACTAAATAATGCTCGACCATGATTGAAAATTATAAATATTTTTTATTTTCTCTGTATATAAAGTCTCCATATGAATTATGTTATGGGGTGCAAAGTGCAAACTTTAACTAATTTTCAAAAACTAAAATTATATTTTCTTGATTTTTAAAATTTGACTAATATTTTAAGAACAATTTTAGGTTAACTGTACATTAGGGGTGTTTAGAAAACACAACTCGACGAATTCAACCAAAACCGTAAGAGTTGGGTTGGGTTAGACGAAGTCTTGGGTTGGGTTGTGATTTTCCCAACCCAACTGGGGGTCGGATCTCAGGTTCAACCTTTAAAAACTCGGGTCAACTCAACCCAACTCAACCCGAATTTATGCATATATATGTATTTTTCTTAATTATATATAAAATAATATCTTTATCTTCAATGTCAATTGTCTATTTATTGTTAATCCTAACCCTTCATTTAAGGTTTTCATATTATCTTCCTCCATTTTGTATCTTAATCCAACCGTCTATTAAGTCTTAATCCTAACTTCTCGTCGCCACTGTAATAATTAAAAAAAAAAAAAACAAACAAACAGACAACCCGACCCAACCCAACCCAAAAATTTGGGTTGGTCTCAAAACCCCTCCTAACCCGACTTGACCCGACCCGTGAACACTGTACATAAAATATCTAAGAAATATTTAGAATGGTTGTCATTTGAGGGATCCTTTGATAATATTGATGTTTCTTGTTTTCCGTTCCATCTTTAGAAGAAAAAAGAAATAGAAATGTGTTTGGTAACAATTTATTGTTTATTGTTTCTCTAACATTTTAAATTAAAAAAATAAAAATTTTATACGAAAATTAAATTTCCAAATTAAATATTTGAAATTTTTATGTTATATTGTTTTTATATTTATTATACCTTCTACAAGTAAAATTGATAAAATAATGCTTTTATCCATGTTTTGAAAAAAAAAACTGGAAACAAAAATAAGAGAACATTAAATTTGATTTTGTTGCTTCCGAAATGTCTACACAATTTTAAAAAATGTTTCTTAAAGATGAGAAACAATAAACATAAACCATTACCAAATGTTTATTTAACGAACGTTTATTTTTCTACAAAATTAAAAATGAGAAACAATAAACATAAAAATCGCCGAATTTTCCACAAATAACCTCTCTTAAATGGAAAGTCTTTTCCTCCTCCCACATCTAAATTTCAATACTAAAACTACTTTAACCAATTTGAATTTAGATAATTTCGTATTACTTACATTCGTCTCTAGCTAAGATGTTATATGTTCGAATTCCCACCTCACTTGTTGTTTAAAAAAGGGGAAATAAAAAAAAGATAACTTTGTATTAAGATCCTAAAATTAAATGTATTATATATATATATATATATATATATATTAAAGGGGTCCTTTCCAATATATAAACTTTTGGTTTGAGAGGGTTTGGAAAGTTGATTTTCTAATTAAAGAGTTTTTTCTTTCCAATTAATTAGGGGTGAGTTTGGTTTTCCAATTGTAAAGCAACATATAGGAGTTATGTCAACTTTTGACTAAAATTTTGAATTTCATAACTAATCCCAATTAATCAATAATTTGAAAAAAGGTGATGAAATTGCCATTATTGGAAGACTTTTGAGGGGTTGGCTACAAAGATAGCTACATTTCAATCCCTTTTTTTTACTTTGGATAATTTAAAATATCTAAAATGTCCCCTTTTTTTTTTCTTTTTTCCACACCCTTTTTCTCTACTTTTCCTAAAGAGTAAAGAAATGGATCATAGAGTGAGGACCAGCATCAATCATGCCATCCATCTTCAATTTTACTTTTGAGATTTAATTGGTTATATTTCATATATATTTATTTCCATTCAAATATTTTATTTATTTTTGTCCCTATTTAGAAAAATCGTCTATTTTAGTACATGAATTTTGAATGAAAAATTATTTTAGTCCTTGATGTTAATTATTTTTTATTGATTATTTAAGAAAAAAACGATCATATATACGATCATACTAATGAACACAATGTATATCTATATTATGTTTTTATTAAATAATTTATAAAAGTCTAAAAGCAAGGTTGTTAATACAATATAATTATTTAGGGACTAAAATAAAATATCTTTGAATGTTAAAAGACTAAAAATGAAACGCGTGTGTAAGAGTCCATAAAGTAAAATAGAATTCGAGCTTATTTTTAAGTACTCTCCATTCTATTTTTTCTTACAATAAATTAAATAAATATCAATAACTTCATATGCAAAAATCTATTGGTAAAATGGTAATTGTGGTAACTTTTTAATGTAAATATTTTGTATTATTTTTCATCTATTCGAGCAAACAAAGAGTAAAATGACTTAACTGCTAAGTTATACTTATGGTGGTGCATGAATAAGTACTCCAAACTACCTATAATAATTAATATTAAGTTAGACGCTAAGTTTTAAAATAGATACATGTAGTTATGTTTTAAAAATAATAATAACAATAACTAAAATATTTTTTAATAATATAAAGTCTAGAGACAAAATAGCGAAAATACAATATTTAAAATTTCAAGAAATAAAAACGAAATAAAAATGAAATGTGAGTTGGGAAGGCTGGTAGGTTTATGTACGTACTTTTAAAACGTTCATTTATTTTAGTTCTTGTACTCTCAAAACGTCCGTTTTTGTCCTTTACATTTTAAAAGCGACTAATTTGATTTCTGTTTAACACAAATTTTAAACACAAAACGAAAATCCTTCAATACAAATTTATGGCTATATTTCAAGAAATTTAGTGAGTGAAGGATGGAAAGAAATGAGATAAAAAACAAAAATTGAGATACTAAAATGATGACTTTTAAAAATACCATGATAAAAAAATCAACGTTTTGAAAATACAAGTATCAGAAAGAAAATGAAACAAAACTAAAAATACAAAAATTAAAATAGTATTTAAACAAATAATTTAAATAAAAAGAAAACAAGTTTAAGCTCTGGACTTTTGGAGTTTTTGAAAATCCTAAATAAAATATTATCTCTCTCTTCTAGAGGATGAATATTGGCAAACCACAACATGCATGTCAATCATACACTATTTTCTATATTATATATTCCTCAGAACATGCAAATTGCCTCTTTGGACTACTAATTCATTATTATATTTAACGTTTATTAGGGATTCGTTATTTGCCACTATTAATTCATAAATTTGCATCCCAAAAAATTTTATGACGCTTTTGGGATTCTCTAGAAAATTTCAAATTAGAGAAAATAAACACTCTCAAATTAAATATTACTTAGCTAACTAGAGCTGTATGTCAAATTTAAATATTTCAATTGGGATGAATAAAATTTAAGACGATGAACTCCTTTTATAGCAATTGGAACACGCTACCTCCTTGTACAAATGTGGGACAATTTACTTTTATAATATTTTGTCAAAATCATTTAAGTTTAAAAATATCAAGCTTGATGAAGTAAGTGAAGGATTTAGGAAATTTTAATTTAGAAAGTTATTCTTCAAGTTTGTAGAATATTCTCCTGACAATAAGTTATTAACATATTAAATATATTGAAAAAAAAAAACAAAATTTACCTCTAACTTGACAAAGATTACTTGCTTTTGTTTGGCTTGTTAATTGTTAAGTTTGTTTATTTTATTTGTTATGAAAAAAAAAAGCTAAATTTTACCAAATGTCCTTGAATTTAAAAATAAAAAAGAAATAATTTTGTCCCAATTTTTTAATTTGTTACAAAAACTGATAATCTATTAACAATGTCTTTTATAATTGAAAAATCGAGGCTTGGGGCAAATTGAAAACCAAGTACAAGGATTAGAGGCAAATTTGAAATTAAACAATTTATACCAAATGCTCCCTAATGTATGTGTTTGGTTTTTATTTTTCTTTTATGTTTTGAAAAATTTCAATTTGTTGGATTTTGACAAAATATTGGAATTAAAGTTGTCCCACATCCATTGGAAGAATACAAGAATGGTCTCCATATGCTAGAAGTTCTCATGGGCTTGGGTTTTAATCATCCCAATTGAAATATTTTAAGCCTGATATACTAGCTCTAACTGAGCGGTATTTGCTTTGAAAGAGTGTTTTGTGTAATTGGGGTCGGGGAGAGAAATCTATGTGATTGTAATAATTTTTCACATAGTGGATTTTCCCTTGTGGGCCGTGGTTTTTTCTCCGGTTTGGAGTTTTTCCACGTTAATTATTGTGTTTCTTTATTTTATTGGTTTCTTTAAATTTCTCAGTTATTTTCTGCTTATTCCTACGGTAGAAGTAGGAGATTTTTCCCAACAACTGGTATCAGAGCTTTAGGTTCGTAGTTTCTAGAATTTCTGAGTATGCTCTGTGGTTGCAGTATTGTCTGAACTTCCACATCAGAAAAGATTTCTTGAAACGAGCTACGGTTTTGTGAATAGTGTAGATTGTTCACTATTTGCATATTTGCTAGGAGTGTGAAGCAGATATGTCATTCTTTATGAGTCCAGTGAAGATTGACGTGGAGAAATTTGACGGAATGATCAACTTTGGCTTGTGGCAAGTGCAAGTTAAGGATGTGCTGATACAATCTGAGTTACACAAGGCGTTGAAGGGAAGACCGAGTGAAGGTGCTTCGGAAAAGCTAAGCGATGATGGTGGTCCAATGGAGTCCAGTGGTGGTTCCAGCAGAGGTTCTAAGAAGTCTAGCATGAGTTATGAAGATTGGGAGGAAATGGATTTGAGAGCTGCAAGCGCGATACGAACAAGTTTGGCTAAGAATATTCTTGCGAATGTGCATAGAATTTCGACAGCCAAAGAACTTTGGGAGAAGCTCGAAGCGTTGTATCAGGCAAAGGGCATCTCAAATCGGCTGTACCTGAAGGAGCAGTTTCACACGCTGCAAATGGAGGAAGGTATGAAAATTTCAGATCAYCTGAGTAATCTCAATAGCATCATCTTTGAGCTAGAGGCGATCGAAGTGAAGATAGATGACGAAGATAAAGCACTCAGGCTCATCTTATCACTTCCAYCTTCTTATGAACACATGAAGCCGATCTTGATGTATGGGAAGGATACTTTGAATTTTGCTGAGGTTACTAGTAAACTTTTGTCAGAGGAAAGAAGGCTGAAGAGTGAAGGGCGTACTTCACATGAAGATTCGGCACTGGTAGTTAGCAATTGGAAGAAGAAGAAAGACTCCGTACAAAAGAAAGCTTGTTGCTGGGGATGCGGACAGTCTGGACACATGAAGAAAGATTGTCCCAACCGGTTCGTCAAAGGGCTTTGGGCGGGATGCTGACAATGTTTCTCTCATCAGGGGAGACGATGATCAGTTCCTTTGAAGAGAGAGAGAATTCATCCTCATGGTATGTCCGCTTTACCATGATAGAGGATGTGATGTTA